TACTTTTTTCTTACGGATAAGTTGTTCTCAGTACTTTTTTGCAAAGGTAAGCAGTGGTGCTGTAAAGGTAATGATTATGGGCTATTCCAATGAGTACACAGAGGTAGTTTCATTTCTGTGAGTAGTGCCATTGACTACAATGGGACTATTTCCATGTGTAAGGTTAGCCTGGAGCATAAGTGTGGACGAGATTGAGTTGTGGGAAAGATTGCATATGTACTTCACCTCTTGCAAAAAGGCTCTTGGGCAACAGAAATATGAAAGCTCCATGTAGACCTTCTGTTCTGGAAGATCAGTTATGGATGGTCTTGAAAAGTGGGTGTGAAATCTACATATAATCCAGCATTGCAAAGCAAAAGAACTGGAAATGTAAGCGAAGAACCAGTTGTTAAGGTAATGCATTCTCCTGTAGTTATGAAAATCTTTCATCTGAGGCTTTTGAAGCACTTTGTGCTTAAGTGAGCGTTACATATTCTTTTAGAAAGGTACTGTTAAGTATCATCACATGGAGCAGTGAGGAGATTATGAATGGCTGGTCAAGGATCATGCGATGAAATAATGAGTATCTGCGATTCCTAATGCTCATCTTAACGGTGAGGAATTATCTGCCCTAATGCTCAATATTGGCCGTAGGCCACAGATTGGTCTTTGGCCGTTGTACAGAAACTTTGTCGGCCAGTTTTATCTGCTGCCTGGAAGAAGGAGGAGGGTATGGCTATTCCTAGAAAATATGAGGCTGCGTTGGGGAAAGAGGAGGTACTGCCTGTTAACAACTGGACTTTGGTCTTTGCAAAGAGAAGCTCTTCAGGAGATTTGGAATAGGACACCGTCTTGCTTTTTTCTGTGGTCACTTGCTCTTCTTCCCAAAAATCAAGATACTCTTAGGCCTGGTCTGCAAACTCTCTTTTGCACTGCTGGTAGCACACGAGCAGGATTTTCTTTGCCCAAGTCCTGTAAGCCTGGATGTGGACCCAGCCATACCAGCACAGCAGCACTTCCTATGCCAGTAGCTTACTCCATTCTGTGGACATGAGACATGAATGAGGTGCACTTTTAAGCACTTTTACACTGCTGTAACTGAATTTTCCATTGGAAGACCATATTGCATAATGTATAATCTCTCATTTTTATAAACCAGTGGTGAAGAATTTTAAACCCTAATGTAGTGGTGAGGCGTTTCCAAGATGTGGGAAAACTTTAAGACATTTATTGCTGTGATGGAGGGAGGCTGTTTATTGCTGTATTTCTGAATGAGAAGTAAGTTGCCCAAAGACTATACAAAGCATGGTATAAGACCAGTGAAGAGCTGAAGGAAACCCACCTCAGCTGCGCCTGATGGGATCACCTTTTCCTTACACTCCACTATAGGAGCTTGGACTGGAGTATTCTGGAGCCAGCCTCACTCTGCCCATGACCAGAAGGCTACAGGCACTAGCTTTTACCCCATGTCCAAAATCAGTGAAGGGAAGGAAATCTGTTGAAGAATCCCTCTGCCAAAAGAAAAAGCAGGAGTTATTTTTCCTTTAAAATCCGTGGGGGGAGACATCAGCTTGCAAATGTATTTGGAAAGCCTCTCAGGCCTTGCCTAGAGGACTTTGTTGGGTTAGCTGAATCAGCAAAGCCTCTTTGCATCGATGCACGTTGCAGTTAAAAGACTTTTGCCTGGGTTAAATGCTGTGAGTCCCTGAACAAAATCCCCTGCAACGGCATACCGATTTCTTTATGCTTGAGCACTTGTGTCAGAGGCACATCGCTCGGAGGAATGGAGATCTTTTGTAGAGGAGAACGTGTAGCTCTGCCGGCAGATCATTAATGTGTAGACCTGGCTTCTGCATGAGAGGGAAAAGAGACACTGCAAAGAGCCGAGGCTTACCGTGCCCAGCGCCGGCTGTCTGCCCACCCTGTGGGGCAGGCTCAGTCTTCAGGCTCTGAACGATGCAGACAGCTATTTTTTGGTACTCTCCTCTAAGCAAAACACGCAGACGTGGCCTGTCCCACGTGCCACTAGGTGGCACTTTAGGGACATGGCAGTCACTTGGTTTTATTCATTGTGCATGAGCTGCATCACCAGAACTAGTTAGCTTTTTTTTTTTTTCCCTTTTTCTTTTCCTTGGTCAAATGTAACTATTTATTTATTTTTACCACCTGCCTGCTCCAGCCAGTCCCTGCCCTGCTGTCTGCTGAGCTTTGCCATCCTCATGTCCTGGCAGCCGGGAGGAACAGCCCAAGCTCAGCCAGCGGGTACCTCAGCCCTGCAGCACAGCGGTTGCCACAGCTGTTAGGCTGACAGCCACATCACAGCACTCAGCTAGTGAAAAATATATCTTGTATCAGTAGGAACTGTGATACTGAACTGTTGGAAATTTTGAAATCTTAGCCTTTTTGGCATCAGTGCTCCAATTTTTATTTGCTTCCGCCAGAATGCAAAGTTTAACCTTTTTTGCCTTTTCAGTTCCCTTCAGTTTGAAATAGTATTCTCCTGCAATGGCACCATTAAAAAAAAAAGGGGGGGGGGGTTCTCCAAAAGGGTGCGCATTTTTTTCTTTTTTTCTCCCTCTGCAGTCCTTTATCTTACTGTGATTTCAATTTTCCTGCTTATTTGCAATTGACATTGTAGAGTACCAGTCTTCCACTGTTACTTCCACACCAACTTCCAATACCAGTTACTTCCACACTGTTTGAACACATTGGTTCTTGAAAAGCTGCATTTTATCTATACATAAATAACATGGGGTTGCTCTCTGTTCTTTTTTCATTCTGTGGAATAAGTTACTGTATTCTTGCTTGTGATCCAAGGTGTAACGTAGACTCCAACAAAAGCGTGAGCACCAGAAACTGCCAGGTTAGGGGGGTATCTAGTGCTCCCTGTCCAAGAAAAGTCATTAAGAGCCAGCTCTCGTATACCTGTCTCATTGCTCAGTGTTGGGCAGAAAAACTGTGGTTTATAGTACATGTATTACGTGGCGCTCTGAAAGACTGTGCTTACTCTTGCTGTCCCTAAATGACTGATTTGTCAAAGTGATGTGAATCAGTCCCACATTTATCATGTGGCTCTGCTAGGTATTTGAACTTTGCTATCCCCAAATCATTCATGAAGGCCTCATGGACTTTGCCAGGCTGCTGTTCCCAGTGTTTAGAGACTTCGTTGCTTTCAAATACATAAAAAGTGGTTGTAGAAATCAGGGAGGTTAGGGGCTATTCAGCTTGCTGATAAAGAAATTTTCTGTTGCATTAAATGCACTTCTAAAGGTCTTTGATTTTTGTAGACCAGAAATAAGATTGCTTTCTCCATTTCACTTCCCTATTTGTACCAGAAATCTACCATTATAGAAGCAGCTCTTCAATCCATGAAAAGCTTTCCAAAATTAAAAAGTTAATATCAAATAGTTATTAAAATCCAAATATTTAAGATATCAATATTCAAATAATACTGGAAAATTACAGGGTGGGTTTGTTTCGGTTTGTTTTGTTTTGTTTAAACCATCAGATAACACTACAGATGTAGCACACTTAGAAGAGGGGGGGGAGAAATCTTATCAGCCAAGACAGCTTTTCCTCCTCTCCAGAGGAATTTCACATGCATTTTAAAAAAAAGATGACAAATCTCCCTCCTCTGTGCACATGTTCGACGCCGTACGGTTGGAGAACAGCAGTAACCTGACAGAAGCGCATTTCCCCTGCAGCTTTCTGTACAGCTCTTATTGTGTGTGTTATGAAAGAAATGGAAGCGGTACGAAAAAGTCCCTCCTTTTAAAATATACCAAATTCTGTGCTTTCTGTCAGTTTTATTTAACTTACAGTGAAGCACTGGGAAACTTGTGACTGCTACAACGCTTGATGGGCCCATGCAGAAACCTCTTGGCAAAAGCGAATTACGTTCTTCAGTGTGCAACAGGTTGTTGTCGTCATTATGGCTAAAATCCTGGCCCCTTTAAAGTTTGAGGTTTGCCTTGAACTTGGTTTTAAATGCAGGCTTTCGCCTGTGTAGAAACAAGCCTTTTTTGAGGAGAGAGCTGGATGGCGGGTTGCCTCTCCTGCCTGGGGGCCGTTGTCAGACTTGGCTCCGACTTGGCAGAAGTTGGGCAGGAGAAGAGGCCGCCTGCCAGTGCCGAGTGCCCTCAGCCTCCCCGCTCCTGCCTGCCTTCCCGTCTTGGAGAGAGCCAGCCCATGCCTTCCGGACAGAAAACAGCCGCGCCGTCTTTATGCTGTGTTTGCTGCAGCGTGCCTGGGGACAGGCGGCTCCAAATCCTGCTGCCCTCCTTTAGCTGATGTGCTGTGCCCTGTCCCGGTGAAGCAAACTGAAAGATGCTGAAGATTTCGGGAGAGGAAAAGCAAGGGATTAGTCCCCTGTTTTAACTTGCTGCTGGGTCAGATATGCTGGGGGAGGGTGTTTTGTTTTGCCCAAATGTAGGCCTGTGTGATGAGTGTTCAGCTCAGTTTTTGTTTGAAACGTGAGAAGGGAGGAGGGAAAAAGATGTATTTGGCTTCTTTTATGACTTGTGTTTTCAGTAACTGTACTGGAATTTTTGGTATAATTCAGACTTTCTCACTCCAGTCTTGCAAGCTTCAAAGACAGAGGCTTACTCTGATGGATTTTCATCCATTTTAGGAGATGATAAGGTGACAGGGTGCAACCAGGATCTTTCCAGCTTTTATCCATCCCCCTTAAGTCTTTCTCTGAGTATTTAGGCTGTAAGGGTAACTCTAGAAGAAATTCTGGGTACTAGGTCATTTACACTCAGAGACACGGTTCCTAACGCTTCACGGAAAAACTTTTCTCTTGTTTTCCTAGCACAATAAGATGCAAGAAAACGGTTTCATTAAAAATCTGCAAAAGACATATGTTATCCACTCAGCTGTCACCCTGGATCTCTGTTTCCCCTACTGTTGAACTGTTAAAGTAACTTTTCTTTTGTGTGTAACGTTTCCTTTCATTGACTTTATTGTATGTGACTGCTAGTCGTTTTCTGGGTGTAGCAATGACTGATTTGTTGTTGCAGACAGAGCAAGTATCTGAGGTTGAATTACATCCTCAGATGAATAGACCTCCGGCACAGGCAGAAGAAAACAGTTCAGCAAAAAAGGTGAGACCTGCAATTGTTGTACCATTCTGGAGTGATTTGCCTTCATCAACAAACGTGATTGTTTTACGTTTTAAAGCAATTAAATGGAGGGTCAGGGTTACGTTTTTACATGTTTACCTTCTCTGGAGGTCAAGACGCTAGAGAGAACCGGCGTCGCCTGGGACATCAGCTCAGATAAATCATTAAGAAGGCTCTTAGTACATACACATCGATGCACGTGCTTTAAGAAAGGCAGCTTGCCATTTGTTTCAAATCAATAGGGGCTTGCGGAGCCTTAGGGAAGACAAAAAAAAGTTTGATTGTACTTGACCCCATCTCGCTGTAATTCTTCCAAATTGTGACACATTTCTTGCTTCCAGTTATTGAGGATTCAGTTTTGATGTAACCACACCTGTTTGCTAGAGGTCAGAATCTGCCACTAAATGTACATAGACTGGGAGAGATTTGCTCAAGATGTGCAGTTTCTGATACGTTTTTGTATGAACATATAATTTATATAGAGTAAGCACCAAAATTGCGATGGTACTCTTCACAGGGCCTTGCTTAGGGATGGAGTGGCCTTAGCAATGGCTGTAAGCCTTTCCCCACTCCTGGTCACGCTCGTTCCACCCGCCCCAGCCAGAAGAGGTTTCTGATAGGGGGCAAATGCAGATCCTCCCCACTCCGGCCCCTCCTGCAGCCAGGGAGCGCTTACAAGACCTTTGCTCAGCCCAGCCAAGAACTGTTGGCAGGTGCTGTACCTAGTGCGTACCTTGCCCAGGGAGCATCATCACATCACGCTTCTTGCCCTAACGGGGGGCACAGGCAAATGTCTGGTGTCGTTTCCTCTATGCGATAGGGCTTTCAGGGCAGCGTCCTCGCTCCACTTGTGCTCACTGCATGCTACTATTAGCCTAGCTCTGCTTCTTCCTTGCTCTGCTTTGCAGCCCTGCTGGGAAAATGAAGTCCTTGTGGTCCGCCTGCTTCATGCTCACCCTCATCCCACCTGGCTCCCTAAAATACAGAGAAGCTGAGGCTGTGGGGTGTGGGAAGCAGGTTATTGGTGCAGTGCTGACGCACCTTCCAAGGCCTGGCGCAACAGCGGCCAACCAAAGAGTCCCTGCAGAGGGCTCTGCTTTTAGGTATTGAGTCATTTCTTCCAGTATCGTGTTTGAAATGGAAGAGGGATTTATCTTCTGGATTTGGTAGGTCTTTGGCTGTTCAAGGTAGACTTGGATTGTCCATTTGGCATCTCACCAGTTTGTAGTTGTATAATGCATATGCAAGTTCCTCGCTTGTCGTATGTCGTGTGTTCGCAGGGAGCTGTGCATATGCACAGGATTTCAGAGCACGATATTATCTGAGATCTGTGCAGTGCTGATGTGCTGACATCCTGATCAAAAGATCTCATAATATTTTTAGATTTTTTTTTTTCCAGTAATGGCAGAACTGCTTTTTAATGTTGAAACCGCTTGCTTCCTTATAATTCTAATTCCTCTAGTAATTGTGATCCCTCTAATACTAATTATTGATGGTTGGTTTCATTCTGTATCACTCATAGTAGTCTATTCTGCTGAGTCAGGCTGCTTACTACAGTGTTGGGTTTTTTTCTTATGATTACTGGGTCATTAAATGCTTCCTCATTTAGTTTTTTTCTGATTTTATTAGCATTTGGCCAAACCATAGTAAGGAAGATAGTCTGGCCCAGTAAACGTGCACTCTGCAAGTGATAATAAAATTTGGTCTCTGGTCTTGTCTGTGACACTAAAGGTCTAATCTTTGTCAAGTCACTTCATCTTTTTGAGTCTTAGCTTTCTCATTCGTGAAACGGTACAGTAATAGTTATATCCCTTCTAAAAGAGATCTGATAATAAAATACACTGAAAAGGATATGTTTCTATTTCAGATGTAAAACAGCTACAAGGCATTAAAACTACTCATTGCAAAAGAAGGGATGTCTTAATTTAAAAGAATGAAAACACTTCTTAGCACTGAAGTCTTAAAAATCCAAGACTCTTTGTTTTACCTACAAACCAGACTATTTCTTTGATGTAACTTATCAAGAGAAATAACTGGCCTTCTACACTTCCAACATGTTAATTTTGCATGGATAATTTTATACATTTGTCTTTCTAAGTGATTTTCAGTGTTGCTTCATGTAAGAGAGGAGGGGAGAAGTGAGAGACTCCATGCCAGATGGGTGAGGTAGTAAGTTGGGATGCAAGTGATTACTTATTGATTCTTACCAACTGAGCATAATTAAAAAGAAATCTTGTTTTTATTTTAATGCTTTTGGGTCAGCTGGGGGCTAGTATATGTATTTATACCCCTCCCTCTGCATGTCCCCCCCCTGCCACCAAATGCACACAGAGCTATACAGTCCAGTTCTGAAGAGCCTGTTATCCAGATGAAGACAAAACACCAGTATAATCATTTCATTCATTAAGGGGTTGCAGGAGTTATTGTTTCTTTTTTCAAAGTCAGAAACCTGAGAGGCTATTACCAAATTTGAATTAAGCTCTGTACCTCTTCAAATTATGAAATCTTAGGCCAGCTGTCAGCAATTTCTGTGTCACAAGTATTCCTCAGCCTAATGATGGGATTCATATGGCCTGACTTAATGTTGCTGTGCTTCTCCCTTGCAGGAGGTTGTTCTCGCTCAGCCACCTTCCAAACCCACCCGCAGGAAGCTCCGGACGGAGGCGCAGGGGCTGGAGACCCCCGAGCTTTCTCCCACTATAAATGTGACTTCTTCCCTGCCAGCAGTCAAGCCTCACCTCCCAGTCCAAAAGTAAAAATCTGTACCAAGCACACCAAACTGCACCGTGAGATCTGATGTGGCAGGGTTTGCTCTTTGCATAATTTTGTGCTTCATAGTTCTGGTTTTGAGAATGCTTCACAAGATACAGGTCTCTGAAATCTACATCTGTCTTTTCAAATGCAGACTAAGTCTGTAGTGACTGTATAAGTTGGTAATACTTGATTGATAGCCTCTTCAGAGGTGTCCTACCTCTGTATCTGGTAGACATGTCTGAAGAGCAAGCCTAGCTGTTCAACCAGCATCTCTAACACAACCCCTCTTAGCTCTGTGGGTGTGTGGTTTTGCCTTGCACATATCTTCTGGACTTTTGCTCATTCTTGTGGACAGATATGACCAGATAAATTCCCAGGAAATTGAGTCATGAAATGCTTGATGTTGGTCATATCCTTGCAATATTTCTTCATCACAAGGCAGGTTGGAAATGAGCTTGCCACTGGTATGAGCTGAGCCATAGACCACTTGTGATAATCAGATAATTGCCAAACCCAGCATGTGTTGTTTGGTCTTATAAATATAGCTGTTGAGGCTGTCAGCAACAAAGACTTGTAGGAATTTCACTATATATTTATTTAATAGCAGTGGAGAAGGGGCTGTACAAATGGTAAGAGAAGGCACTTGAAGCCCCATTGGGTCTATATATCTCCCTCAACCGAAACAGTGTGCAAACATCATAGCCTGCCTTCACCCGAAGCCTTGCAAAGACATCTGGTTCAGTCTGAAACAAAACCGAGCTGCCCAAATCAGTTGAGCGGTTCTTGGCAAACTGTTTATCGGTAAACTGAATCTGAGCTGCATAATTGGAGATTAGAATAAGTAATAAGACCCCTAGGATGCTCTTAAAGTGCTATTTTGTGCTTTGGGAGTGCATATCCCATAGTGGTTCAAAGAACGGTAACAACTTTTGTTAGCGTCTCCACTTAATGCTGTCTTGTCTATATCTTTCCTGAAATGTTTAAATGACCACAGAGGTGTGTCTCCCTGTTTTTTATATTTTCCTACTATTATTACTTTATAGTCTATGGAGAGTAGTTTGAAGCAAAATCATGAAGCAGAAAACTGACAGTTCACTGGAAGATAACAGCATAAAGACCTGCCTGTGCTGCAAAACAGATCCTGTTGCAAAGATCAGTGCCATCAGCTCTGTTAAGAGAAAAGAGCTAATGGGGACTGCGTACCACTATGGACCTTATTTAAATAGGGCATCTGTTTTAGATCAAATTTGTCGTTAAAGAGCTCTTGATGCCTCATGTAAAACTTTAAAATAATCTGTTTGGAGAAGGGCTTGGATATTCAGCCAGCATTTTCTGTATTTTCTTTCCTTTTTCCTATTGTTACCTCTGTTTCTTGGAATAGGTTGGTCCTTATGTACAGAGCTGTCTCTTTTTGTACCTGTCTGCCCTAACTGTAATTGCCTCCAAATCAGTTACCAAGGGCTATACAGTAATAATAATAATAGGAGAGAGATCTTTTCTTTAAGCAGCAAAAGAGATGAGGAAAGTCCGTAAGCCATCTACCTGTTCCTGTTTGTGACATCAGATGGTTTCGATGGAAATGACTGCTTTGAATGAAAGATTAATTTTTGAAGTAAAGAACCATCAGAATCAGCAGTGCCCAAAAAATCCAAGACAGTATTTTCATGCAGATGTCCTTTCCTTCTGCATAGAATGATTTTTGTATTTTCTGTTAACCACTCCTGAATCTTTAAACCCTGCAAGTGTCTGAAAACAGCTAAAGAAAAGATGCTGCAATAAGTACAGCTATGCAGGGATTATTCTTAAGCTGAATCAGAATGCAGTGAGTTTTGAAATAATTGAGACAGCCTGAAATGTTTCTGTCATTCAGGTTAACAAGTGTGACCATTTACTTTCGAATAGTCTACCTGATTCAGCCATCTCATTTCAGTGTTACATTTTTTCTTCTCTTAAATGTGTAGTTTGTACCTTGTCTTTGAAACGTAGTTCAGTGTGTATGGAGTACAGGTGTGCAAAATGGATGGCTGGTCTTCTGGTATCAGCCGCTGTTGAGGCTCTTAATTGAAATGTTTTGTATTTATCTCTCTGGCAGACAGTCTTCCAAGCAGAAAAGGGCTATTCAGACCGCTATACGAAAAAACAAAGAAGCCAATGCTGTGCTCGCCAGGCTGAACAGTGAGCTCCAGCAGCAGCTGAAGGTAAGGAATGCATTGAAAATCAGCGACAAAGCTCCCTGCAATCAGTTACGTGTCACCTCCAGCAGAGAATCTTGTTCATCTTCTCCGATGAAACCTGCTGCGTTATTTCCTGCTTTCTGGAAGGGAATAACTATACTGCATGTGTGGGTAGGATGAGGCTCTCTGGGAAAAGTTAGAACCTATGGGCCTACAGCTCCACTGGCAGTTAGAGTAAGTGAACTTTGTCTTTCTGAAAAGTTTGATAATGTGATGGTGTCACCTAGTGCAGAACAGCAACTGAAGCGTAGCGTGCTGCTGTTCTGCTATGTAACTTGTCTCCTGGAGTCGGGCATTTGGTATACACATGGACTGGCTAAACCACGCTTTACATGCACATCTAACACTGATTTTTTAATGTCTGCTGACTTGTCTTTTAACATGTTCTCAAGGGGCTGTTTTCTTACAAGTATCAGTTGTGGTTCTTCTGTTTTCTGAGTCCAAAGGTAGTACAGATTTTAGTTTTTCATCTGCTACAGCTTTTTCTTCCTTGCCTATTATGAACATGCTTGTATGGAAAGGGAAGCGAACCCCCAGTTACACTTCTTCTTCAGTCAAGGTGAAAGTTTGATTCCGTGTTCAACCTTGCTTTAGCAAAATTTTTTAACTGGCTTTCAAGGATCTCCCCAGACTGATGCAGAGTGGATGCTCTGTACTGAAATCATAGCAAAATACAGGACAGCAACTGAAATAAGCACGGAGATGAAAGCTTTTAATGACAGCACATTGCCATCATTCCTTGGCTCAGGTCTTATCTGCTTCTATGCACTATCTTCAGTATGCTTAAACTCCCCGACCTTCACGAAACAGCTGTTATCTATATTTTACGGTAGGGTGAAGGGAGCACGTAGACAGAGAGATTTGCCGGAGTTCACACAAGAGCAGAAAACTGAAGTTGTCCTTCAAGTTGTATTGCTGCCTGGAAACTTTCTGATGGAATGGGGCCTTTATGTTTTTATGGGGACCAGAAGGCTTGACGGGTGCCCCTCAGGCACAGCTTGCACTGAGACACGGGGGGCATTCAAGTGCACTCCTGGGCTGTGAGGCTGCCCAAATGGGGTACCAAAGCCTGGAGGAGTCACAGGTCAGCCCGGCTCCCACACGGGCTGGGGAGCCCTTTGGTGGTGGGAGGTCAGTGAGAGCCGGGTGCCCCTCAGCACAGGGGCAGCCTCGAGACCAGGAGAGGCTTTCCCAAAATTGCTGATCCCCAAAGTTAGTTTCCGGCCGAGACTGATGGTCTTCCTGACGCAGCTGCCGAAGAGGTAGATTGCAAAGCCTGTGTCGTCTCAGGCTAAGTCTCATTCATTTCCAAAAGGAAAGAGGTTGGGTGTGTAAACCAAAAATTCTCAAAAAGCAGTTTTGAGGGAAATGTGATTTCAAAATAACCTCATTTTCTTTGGTAAAATTGCCGACCTGTGGCGAGCGTTGCTGCATCCCAAGCTATTCCACTGGCCAGTGGATGACTGCTCCTCTCCATGATCACCCGAGCAAGTGACTGAGCTGTACAAGGTGGTTGTGTGGCGTTGGCACAGTGTTTTGAGACCGCAAGGAGAGTTATTTAAATGGCAGAGCCCCGAGCCTCCAGTCAATGCCAGTGGTTTGCCTGGCGGCTCTTTACCGGAGCGGGGTGGTGCAAGCAAGCATCCCAAAAGTTACAGCGCATCTCTCTCCCTCCTGCAGGAGGTTCACAAGGAACGAATTGCCTTGGAAACGCAGCTGGAGCAGCTGCGTCCCGTCACCGTCTTGTGACCTCCCGCACGGCCGTGCAGCGGCACGAGCGGAGCACGCGTCCCGACAGCCTTGCGAGGAGAGGAGCATGGCACGGCTGGGCAGAGTTTCTGGCGGTGGGGAGGACCGGCTTGTCAGGTCCCTTCACCCCCCTGTGCACGTTTGCCTTTGCAGGTGAAGGAGGTACAGAAAACAAAGATCTGACTGCTGGATATTTCTGAGTGGGGGGATGCTTCTCCGTCTTTCCTCCCTCTTCCCAGCCTAATGTGTAAATACAGTTTATCACTGAAATGAATAACCTGAGAGTATTTTATTTATGTAAAGAACTCCTGATTTATACGTGTTCTGGCAGCACCTCCTGCCCCGATCATTTAAGAGGTACAGCGTTCCTGAATTCTTGCTTAAATTTAAAACTCATCCTCTGAGATGGGCTTCTGGATGTTACTGATTCCTGTAGGATTGTATCATGGTAGAGTACCTGCGGGTTTAATGTACTACAGGAGTAAAATGCGCTAGACGTACAGAGTCTTTATCCTCAATCACATGTCAGATAATTATTTTCTTAGCACTGTTTATTATGCAATCACGGATGTATTTTAATGTTAGAGAACTTGTATTTTATAAGTTCAAATCATATGAGAAAATGGTAAAAAATGCTAAGATTTAATTATTTTGGAACTTAGAAAAAAAATAACCTGTTTTTTTGAGCTAAACTGCTTCCTATCACCAGTGTTTGATCACTTGCTTGCAACTGCCAGTGTCTCTGCATACTTTTAGCATGTTTGAGATCACTGGTTTATAGCTTTTTTCCTTCTTTTATTTTTTTTAACCAACATTGTATTTCTAACAAGAGGTTAAAAATGCATTCGGGACATTTTTATAAAAGCTGTTCTATGTACATTTGTATTAGTTTGCTTTGTTGTCTTAATAGCTGCTGATTTGTAGGATGTGTACAAGAACTGTATTTCCAAAAGAAGAAAGATAATCCAAGTGCTATGTATGAGGTTATAAAATGTGTGATGGAAATAATTGCCCTCTACAGCAGGCTTTCGCTAAGGTTCCTTGCACCTCACTGGAGATGCCACTGATAGGATGAAGGTGGTAATGCCCATCTATTTCCTAAATGAAGAAGCACAGATTAATTTTTAACCTGGGTCTGATCCAGGGCCAACTGAATGCTCTGGGGATTTTCCGTGGATGCAGTGGTCGTTGGCTTTGGTCTAGTTCTTGGAATGGAAGCTGGCTAACTGATGTTGTTTTATTTCTTGGGCCAGTACTCTTACATTGGGTGACTAAAGACGTAGCGATGTCAGCCCTGCTCCCACCATGGATATGAAGTGTGCTTCACTGCAAGGGAATGTCACCTACCCGTTATCCATCTTAAACGTGATGCTGCATGTGTTTCATATGCTGTTGTTCACTGACCTAATTTAAGTGTACGCGTTCGCCTTGCAGAAACGGTGCAGCAGTTTTTTAGCATTGTTGGTGTGATGCTTTCTCCTTGTAGCTGTAGGATGGCCCTAGGGCTGAGAGGAAGGAGAAGCAGGTTTGAAGCAGCTGGGTAGCCTCCCTTCAGGGTGTATCATGGAATGGTTGCGGTGGGCTATCAGAGGACACCAGAGCAGCCAAACGTTAGGCTGAGAGGCAAGAAAGACATCAATGGGAATGTTTAAAGTGATGAGGGAACAGCCTATTTTTGCTGGAAGGGATATGGATGTGGGACATGGATCCAGAAGCCTGAAGGTGAAAATAAGCATTTGCAGAATTGTTACTGAAAATCTGTTTCTGTAGCGCATTGGTTTCGATTCAACTAAACATCACTATGTCAACAAGCAACAACCATTTCTCTGGATTTGGGGCTTCTTTTGTGCAGCTGTTGCATAGCTGGGGTCAGACAGCCATTCCTGGTCAGTGACAAAATGCAAGAACTGCAGACTTTTCTGGGAAGCTGCAAACAGCCACTGCCCTCTTGCTAGTAGTCGTACTGTTCAGAAGTTATCATCATTTATTTCATATTTCATATTCCATATGTTCATAACACTGAGTCATTCCTGAGATTTTAATGAGGTTAAGTGCTCACTCTTTGTTTGCTTTTTAGTTCTTACATTGTCATTTGCTTAATAAGCCCTGACTATTCAATAGGAAATAATCATATGGCATGTTTGTTTTTTATTTTATGGGTGATTTTTTTAAGGAAAGCTTTTCAATGATTACAAAGAAGCATGCACATTGCATTTTTAAGGCAGTGGAGGACTTTTTCTTGTTTGATAGGAGCTTCCTCTAGAATAATCCCCCATTTATTTTATTTAGGTTATTAATGGAATAGATGCTGTTCAAAGGAGGAGTGGGGAAAAGTCTGATTTATATGTCCTTTTCAGATGTCTCCCTTCTAACATACTGGTTTGTTTTTTTTTTTTTCATTCACTGGAAATTAGGATACTTGGTTAGCCAACAATGAAATATTTACTCGGTTGTTACTCTACCACAGGACTTAATAAATTAAAAATTTAACCATCCCTGCATTTTTAGGATTGCAATCAAATGCCCCATTCAGCTTCAAGGCCTAGAGTGTGAGCTGATTTGTATTCTGTCTGGTGAAATGTTGGCTATGATGATGATATTCTACTTCACAAAGAACAAAATATTCGGGGAGAAATGTTGGTGTGTTATACATACGATGCAGGAAGTTATTATTCTATATGTCTCAGTACTTAAGCATTCATGATAGCCCATGCAAAATGAAAAAGTGTGTCTGGTTTTGGGAGGCTGTTAGCATTTTGAGAGGGCGAGGAGAAGGCATCGTGAAGCTATAAACAGTGCTTCTGGCAGTTGCTTCATGCAGCCACGTTCATGGCTACTATTAACAGACCCTGGCTGGTCAAAATTCACGTCTAAATCCAGTATCACAGATTTTCTCAAAAAATACTTTTCCTTTGTGGAAAAACGTGGGTACAGCAAAATCATAATTTCTTGCAGAAACCTCTACTTTCTGAAACTTTGGATGGGAGATGCTTCTAGTACCAAGACAGACCATCTGGTCAGAAAGGGAGACCTTACAAGCAGTTTGCTCAGTGTTCAGGGCACTTTCTTGAGCTACAGGAGAGCAATCAACTTTAAGGCCCTGATGTGCCTGACCCAGAGCAGCAACTAGGACCTGCCTGTCCCAGCTTATGGCCTGACCAAGGAGCAAGAGCAGCTTCCCACACGTGAGGTCTCACCCTCCTCAGTTCATGGTTGCTGTAGGTGTTTAGGCAGAACAGAGCATGCCCAGCAAGAGAGGTTAACTGGGAACAGGAGCTGGAGCACACCTTCGTAGCACCTGAGAGGATGCGCAGACCGTGAACCTGGTGCCCCTTTCTAAGTCTTCAGTTTCATGCAGCTGTTCTGGTTTGGAAAATTAAATATTTTTGTCTGCAGGACAAGACTAGGCAGAGCAGATAACGATCTTCCTCAGTGTGTGTGTAAGTGTGCACTCACATGTCTTCCTTTTGATCATGCATTTCTTTATGGATCTGTTAATGTTCATATCACCTGATAGCTCTCTATGAAATACTTGTTTCAATACATGGTAATTCAGTGGTGAAAAAAGAAAAATGCCCAGCTAAGCGTAGTGGCTGGTTGCTTTTGTAGATCAAGCCATTTTTATTTGAGCCTTTAAATAAAAATAATGAGCTGGTAATTAAGCAAGGCGAACACTTTCCATTTCAGAGGCATTCCTTTAAACAAACAGCCTGTGAACAAACATTAATCCTTCATGATCAATGTCCTTCTAGTTATTAAATTTACACTAGGATGCAGTGGAAACATTACCACCTCTTTCCAGACAGTTCTCAGCTCTCTTCCAGAGAGTTTTGCTGATGTAGCAAAAATGTCAGTGATTAGTGGATTCAGCCCTGTTATTGGCAAGTTGGTGAATATCCTTTTTTAACTCAAAAGATTTTCTCCAAACTGTTTTTATGTATGTGGCAGTAGTTATGCTGCTGGGAATTCTGTACCCACATCAGGGAGAGGAACTTGCTCGGCTGTGATCCAGACCGTCCCAGCTTGACGCTGCCGCGGCTAACCAGTGCGGGGCGGTGACAACTGGCACGGTAAAATGACCCCAAAGGGATGGTTGGGACTTGGAACCCTTCACAGAAAGCACTTAGGATGGGCATGATATGAAAATTGCCTTTTGGTGGTATATAAGCTCTTTCCTCCCAGCTGAGCTTCCACATCAGGAGAAAGGGAGCCTGTAGAAGTTGCTAGCCAGGGAATGAGGGGGTGTCTGTTTTCCAGCGCTATCAGCCCTTCGGCCTTCAGCGCACACGGTCCTTGACAAGAAAATACACGGGGTTATGAAAGAAGGGAGAAAGGCCCTCGTGAAGCCACATATTTTATTGACTAAAGAGTAAAAGTGTTTTTCAGGAAAAAAAAATCCAAGTGATGCAGTATCTTTGAGAAGAGATGATGTATTTCAAAGCTTTTTTCAGTTATCGTCATGATAACGTGCTATGAACATATGCATTATGTTTTACTCTGTTACTGATTTTTTGATATAAAAAATAGTATTGCAAGCATTATCGTTGTTAATCTAAAAAAAATACCCTGAGGCTATTATATATTTGAATGTTAACTTATAAAGTAGATAGCCAGATTTAAGCAATTTGTTTTCACAGCTGCAGACTGTCCACGTGGTAAGCTGCAAAATGTATAGTGTTCTATACTATGCCCATCTAATTTTGGAAAATGTATGTGATATGGAGCTGGGTGCTACATTAAAATAAAAGCGTCCAATAACTTCAAGTTGCCTTGCTTTTGTGGTTTATTTAGGATGTCGATTGTGCAGATCTGCCAGGAGAGTAGAAACTGTGACTCGCTGTGGAAAAAATACAGTGTTGAAATGGCTGACCTTCAACTATGAAAGATGAAATCACTTACGTTGGGATTGTGTGTACGCGAGAGAGACGGAGAGAGACTTATTTAAAGTGAAATCATATTTCCTTAGGCTTCAGTTAAGTCAAAACTTCATCTTTACTTTG